AACACTGCTGATGTGTTCACCAAGGCACTTGCGCCTTGTGACCATCAGCGCTTTTGTACCCAGCTAGGTCTTGTACCTGTCTTGCCTCACTTGCTCTCTTCTTGACTTTACTTGTACTTTGTCATATATATACCTGCTCCTGCTTGTCTAGTTTTATATATATGTGTGTACTCCTGCATGTGAACTGGCCTCTGGCCCTGCTCTTGTGCTCGGACTGTGTGGTGACTTTGTGATCCACCCTGAGCTTGCTTTGCTTTGCTTTGCTTGACTGGTCTTGTGACCCCTTGTTCTCCCCCACTTTGCCTATGGGGGTGTGTCAGATTATTATAGCTGATGCATGTTTGTAGGCTATAGTGGGGTAGCACATATGGGGTACAGTTTGCTAGGGTTGTATTTGTACCCAACTCTGACTTAGTCAATTCATTCCTGTTCAGTTAGTTTCACACTTTCTTGCTTGTTCTCTCATATTTCTACCCTTGAACCTATAGTGAAACTCTCATTCTCTCGACTCATCTCTCCTTTCAACTTTCTCGAACTAAACTCGAACTCTCTCCTAAGATTCCATGGCTCCTAAGCCTAAGTCACGCTAGTTATTTTCACATGCTATCAGAGTGATAGGTCCTGGCCTGTGGACCCGCCCTACTGCTTCCGCTGCTACTCTGTCTTCGGCACGCCCCGTGGCGTGCCCCTAAACTTTCTCCTAGCGGCCCCGTTGCCGCCCTTTCAGGCCCCTCGCGGCCCCTTCGAGGCCCCGTCGCCGCCCTTCAGCGGCCCCGCCGCCGCCCTTTCAGCGGCCCCGTCGTCGCCCGCCCTTCATCAGGCCCCGCTACCGCCCCGCTCCGGCCCCGCTTAGGCCCTGCTACGGCCCCGCTACAGCCCCGTCGCCCACCTGCGGCCCCGTCGCCCACCACGGCCCCGTCGCCCGCTGCGGCCCCGTCGCCATCTGCGGCCCCGCCACCTACGGCCCCGTCGCCTACCTGCGGCCCTACGGCCCCGTCGCCTACCTGCGGCCCCGGCCCCGTCGCCTTCCTGCGGCCCCGGCCCCGTCGCCTACCTGCGGCCCTACGGCCTCGTCACCTAACTGCGGCCTCGGCCCCGTCGCCTCCTTGTGGCCCCAGCCCCGTCGTCACCTGCGGCCCCGCCACCTGCGGCCCCGTCGCCACCTGCGGCCCCGTCGCCCACTTCGGTCCCGATGCCACCTGCAGCCCCGCCCACTTGCGGCCCCGACCCCGCCCCGGCCATGCCCCGTCGCCAGCCGCGGCACACCGGGGTCACGTGCCCGCCCCCCCCCTTTTTCCCGTCACCTGTCGAGGTGACCTGAGGGGCGACCTGGAAGGGGGGGGCAGGCGTCGCCCCCTCTGCCGCCTGCTTTGGCGCCCGGGGAGGACGTGCGTCGACCCCCCCCCCCCCCCCCCTCCCTCTCCTCCTCCTTTTGTTCCCGCTGCTGCAGCTGCCGCTGGGGGGGAGGGTGTGAGGGTGTGGGGGAGCCCGGGGAGTGGCACTGGGGTGGCGGATGTGAGACCACCCAGCAGCCGTCCCTCCACCTCTCCTCTCTTCTCCCCTCTGCTGCTCCTGCAGCAGTGTGTGGGGGAGGGGGAAGGGGAGGGGGAGGGGGAGGATGGGAGGGTGTGAGGGTGTGGGGGAGCCAGAGGAGTGGTATTATTGAAACACTTTTCTCCTCCTACGCAATCGTGATGTACCCCTTCAGAGGGCGCTAATTGCATACCGTATTCCCCCGGACATACCACCCTAGGGTGCTATGATAACTACACAAAAAAATGGGGGGGGGTCTTGTCATCGGAAAAAGCTACATTGCACCCGGGTCTTTTTATACGGTATTTTTAGTGTAAGGATTTTGATGCAAAGACAACTTGGGTGTTTTCAAAGTTGGATTACCATCACAGCTAGAAGCGAGAATGTGGGTTTTGGCGAGATCCTTTTCACCCCCCTTGAAATTGCCAAGTGGCACCTTTTTGGCCACTTGGTAGTGAACAATCTTCCAGCGTGGCAGTAGCGTAAAAGAGGGAGGGGGGTGATTTCGGTAGATTACATTGAAACTACCATGAAATTTCATCGCGGAAGTTATTTCCGCGATGTTCTGCAGTACTCGCTAACAGCTATAATTAGAAATTTTGTATGAAAGGAGGGTGCTATAGAAAATTCACCCCAAAAGGGGGGTATAGTAGAAACGAGGTCCGCTATAGCACCCCCCCCGCACAAGCCACCCGGGGGGTGCTCTATTTCGGCGGGTGGTATGTCCGGGGGAATACGGTACTCATCTCCTACAGCCAGTTATGGGGGCGTGTCGGAAAATATTATTTAATATTTTCTATATGTAACTGCCTGTAGGATTGGTTACTGTAGTTATAGCGTTTTCCTATTTGGTGGTGCACCTTTCTTGCTTGTTCTCTCATATTTGTACCCTTGAACCTATAGTGAAACTCTCATTCTCTCGACTCATCTCTCCTTTCAACTTTCTTGAACTAAACTCGAACTCTCTCCTAAGATTCCATGGCTCCTAAGCCTAAGTCACGCTAGTTATTTTCACACATATACGTCCTCCCGCTGCCCGCTTGGACATGTACGGAGCGAGTCGCCTGTCCTTGCGCGTGTGCTGTCTGGATGACCTGTCCCGCGTCACGTGAATATTTTCAATGGCGGGTCGTCGACGAGACAATCCGTCCAAGGTATCACTAACTACCCCTAGGAGCACCACACGCATAACTTCTAGGAGCAAACTTGGTTGTTCTGAGCAACGCGTTATCTAGTCCCACCCCGCCTCTTGTGAAACCTGAATGTTTTTACGGCCAATCGTAATGTTATGAACGGCTCGTCTCTCCGCCTCTCTTATCATGGAGCGGACTGCGTTTTTTTGGGTACTAATAAGTGAGCGCCCATTGACGCCGTTCACAAAATGCATCCATGGCTCTACCGGTCAAACCCCTTCTCACCGGAGTTTGTTTAGGCATGATCGGGTGGTGCTGTGCCTTGCGTGGTGCTGTGCAGTGCTGTGCCTTTTGGATATACTTATCTTTCTTACTAGAGCTCTTGTTGGCATGATTGGGTGGTGCTGTGCCGTGTGCAGTTGTATCGCTCGTTGCGGCGGGTGCAGCGTCTGCAACTCCCCCCACGTCACCTTCAGCGTCTTTCTCGGCATTGCTCTCAAGCGGGCTGTCCGTCCCGTCCTCCACTCAGGCCACTCCTTTGGTGAAAGGAAAGGCGTTTAGTAAGTGCTTCCGTTCAACCAATGGTGTTTTCTTAGCTCTCAAAAACGCCTGAGCACTTCAGTGCTTTCACGAACTTCGTGAAAATACGTTGAAAGTACTGTCTGCTTGCAGCAGCGATGTCGCCGTGAGCTGTGCTCCGCTGTTACTACTACCGCCACGGTTACTACTCGTGTATGGTGTGGTGGAACTTAGGGTCATAGTATCTTCCCACAACCGCAAGCCCAGTCACATAGCATAATTGGACAAGTGATCTTCCCGTCATTTCATATACTGAACAGAAACTATCAGTGCGCTGCGCGCATGTAGTGTTAGTGCTATCTAATCACGGCATCCTTCAGAAATGCTTTCCTTGGTACTTACACCCCCATTCCCTTTCCAGTGCGCTATGCGGCCAGGCTCACTCCTACTCGTAGCAACGGAAAAGTGGTTGGCGACAAAGGAGCAACTGGAAGAGTGGTTATGAAGGGAGTCAAGTAAGTTCGTTGTTCGGTAACCATAGTTTAGTGTAGCCCTGCAAGTCCTGAGAGTATTTTCCGGTATTTTTTTCTGCCCAATTCAGCTAAATGCAAATTTGAACAAGCTGCAATATCTGTGCTAAAAAATGCATCTATGTGAACGTGGCGTATTCTTCTACTCTTGCACAAATATCATGTGAGGAGCCATGAATCAACCCGTGGTGCTTGTGTCCGTCCTATCCTCCCTCGCCTCGGTGATAGGGCCTCTGCAAGTGCCTTCTATGTTGTGATCAACATGCATATCAACAACATCCGCTCTGGAGGGGCTGGGCCCTCTTTTGACACCGTTTCTTCTTGCCTTGCTGGCAAGTATGAGGCAGGAAGTGACTGGAAGAACGCCACGACTACCAAGGGTGGTCGGCGCAAGCGCTACAGCTTCACTAGCTACACTAGTGTGGGCCCAGGGTTGGAGGCTGTTGTTCAAAGTTTTATCAAACAACGGTTTGACGAAGAGTCGAACGCTTGGTTGGTGTTGTCTCGTCCTAACAACAACTACGCACTCTGCGGGAAGATGAAGAAGCAACCGTAAAAGCTGGGGTGTGAGCACTGTAAAGTGTAGGAATGTAAAGAACATTGCAAGATTGTACCACTGCTGATGCATGGCCTGGCCTGCCATCATGCCATGCCACCCCTGATATTGGCTTGAATTCGACCATCAGGAAGTATGGTTTTAAATAAGTAATGTTTTCAATTCCGGGGTAGATTGCCTCAAGCGTCTTATTCCTAAATTTCAAATCGTGCCTTGGTTGTAGATCAGGGAGACCCGAAGTGGCATGTTGAGTATATTTACTTTCTTGCAGGTTGTGAGTACAATATGTGCTGGAAATGTATCGAAATATGTTCTCAGAATCGTCGTCATTTAGTGTTGGCAATTGGCCAGGCCGTGACCACGTGGACTCCGCCCAATCTGGGCTGGGCGAGCTGACATGGCCATAGCAATCCCCTTCACCCCGATTTCCATCCCGCCCCTGTCAAACAAAAAGCTTTTTCCGCCTTGCGTCTGGAGCTGAAGGCAACCCGCAATGAAGTCGCTCAGCTTCACATTCTTTCAACCAGAGTGATCTTCCTAGTTCTCCTGCTCGCGTTTTTGTCTTGCCATTTTGCTGTTCTCAGCAGTTGAGAACGTCTTGTTCTCAGTGCTGTTTTTCGTACGCCGGAATCTGTCAGTCGCGGGTACTTGCTGGTCCCTCGTGGATCTGGACGAAAAGCCAAGAGAGTGGTAGATTCAGTGTTCAGGCGCTTCGTCGTTGTTGGCCATATGGAGCAGTTTTCAAGATCCGCTTTGCGGTCGCATTTCCTTTTAGCATCCCTCATAATAGCAGCTTTGATCGGAAACTCTTGTATCACGGCCGCTAGTGCTGGTCATGAGCTCCGTGAGAGACGTCACCACCATCACCACCACCATCACCCCCACCATCAGCATCACCACGATGACGATCATCGTGATCATGGTCATGGCAAAGGCGGGGGGAGTCCTGGGAGGTACAACACGCGGGCCGGCCCCGTGGAGGGGAAGCTTAACGTGCACCTCGTAGCGCATTCGCATGATGACGTGGGATGGCTTAAAACCGTCGATCAGTACTACATCGGGTCGAACAACTCCATTCAGGTGATTTGACGTGGACATCCGTGCACGCGAAATTTTGTAAATCTGATTGTTATCTTGATTTATGATTGTTTCTTTCTCGGGCTTTCAGGCGAATTCAAGAGGAATCGGATTAATCACCAGATGCTAATGTACATTTATGACAACGATCCGTTGATCTGTTTCAGGTTGCTGCGGTACAGTACATCCTCGATACAGTGGTGGAGCAGCTGAGCGAGGACCCCAACAGGAAGTTCATTCAGGTGGAGCAGGCCTTTTTCCAGCGCTGGTGGCGTCGGCAATCCAAGGACGTGCAACGTGTCGTCAGGCGATTGGTCAAGAACGGTCAACTGGAGTTCACGTAAGTCTTGAAGGGAATGTCGGAGCTCTATTACGGGGGCAGGGGATACGCCGTGAAGGGATGTAAGATGTGGTCTGGTGACGGTGATGTTGGGGGAGGATGAATGCGGTCATTTCAGCAATGGCGTATGTCAGCGATTTGAGAAGCATTTCTGTCTGCTGTCGTTAAAATTGAAGGAGTTGCCGTCCAGATTGACACCAGACAGTTAAATTCGTGACATTCCGTGCGCCCCCACGTGCCCTGTTCGCGCAGCAACGGCGGGTGGTGCATGCACGACGAGGCGGCGACGCACTACACGGACATGGTGCACCAGATGTCTCTCGGGCTGCGCCTCATCCGCCGCCAGTTCGGCCAGGTGCCGCGCGTCGCCTGGCAGATCGACCCCTTTGGCCACTCCGCCGTGCAGGGCTACCTCATCTCCGCCATGGTGGGTTCCGCAATGGTCCGTGCTGCTCGGTGCTGCTGGGTTCTGCTTGGCGCTTCTAGGTTTTCCTGGTTACTGCTTGGTGCAGCATGACTCGAGGGGAAACGATTACCCCTCCCGACGCGCCTCCCCCTACCCCCAACAGGCCAGCCCGGTGTTCTGCGCACGCGCAGAGCAGACTACGAGGACAGCACTGTTCCACCAGTTCACTGTTTCACTCTATCACCTCGCCCTTTACTCCTCTCCCCTGCCCGCTTTCCCCCCAACAGGGTGGCTTCGACGCGGTGTTCTTCGCGCGCGCGGACTACGAGGACAGCGAGGCGCGGTACCGCGCGCGCACGGCGGAGTTCGTGTGGCGCGCGTCCGACACGCTTAATGAGCGCGCGGAGGTGTTCGGCGGGCGGCTGTACGTGCACTACCTGCCGCCCGACTCGTTCCGCTACGACACCAACAACTGGGACCCGCCCGTGCAGGTGAGAGCCAGAGGGTGGTGCTAGTTGTTGGCTGTGGCAGCCTGGGAGTGTGATGCCGGTTGCTACCCCTGCCGCCCGACTCGTTCCGCTACGACCCCAACAACTGTTTCGATCTGTGTGTTGCCTTACTCGCCTGCCCCCTCTCCCCCCCCCAAACCCCCCCGTGTGGCAGGACGACCCTGAATTGTATGACTACAATGTGCAGCAGCGCGTGGACAAGTTCGTGGAAACTGCGCTCAAACAGGTGAGGAGAGGGGGAGAGAAAGCAGAGAAAGTGGGGGAAGGTGGGTCGTGGGGGCGGGGTTGAGGGTGGGGTGGGAAACTGGTGGAGGGGGAGAGGGAGAACAGGGAAGGGTTGGAGGGGTTGCATGCTGCATGCATCCCATCCCATGTAACACATGCCATACACCACATCCCATAAATCACATCCCATAAACGACACCTCATGCACCACCTCACGAGCAGGCAGAGAGCTACCGTACAAACCACATCATGTGGACGATGGGCGACGACTTTGCATACAGCAACGCGGTGACGTGGTTCCGCAACATGGACAAGCTCATTCACTACGTCAACCGCGACGGGCGGGTGAACGCCTTCTACTCCACGCCCTCCATCTATGTGGACGCCAAGCACCGCGCCAACGAGTCCTGGCCCGTCAAGACCGGAGACTTCTTCCCGTGAGTCACTCTTCCCCCTCACCCCCCCCCCCTCCCCAACCTACCCCCCAACCCCAGGAGCTCTTCATTTCTTGAAGCTTTCAGCCCCCCGTCCCCACCTCTCCCCCCATCATACCTCACTTTGTCTGCTGTCCTGTTTACTAATTTCTCTTTTTTAAGGTTCTAACTTTTTTTTTTCCCTTCCCTGTGCCGCCCTTGCTTCCCCCCGCCCTGTCCGCAGCTACGCGGAGTGCCTCCACTGCTACTGGACGGGGTACTTCTCCAGCCGCCCCGCCTTCAAATGTTTCTCTCCCATTGTCCCCTCCCATTCACCCCCCCCCCCCCCCCACCCTGTCTGCAGCTATGCGGACTGTCCGCACTGCTACTGGACGGGGTACTTCTCCTCCCGCCCCGCCTTCAAGCGCTACGTGCGGCACTGCAGCGCGCTGCTCCTCGTACGCCCTGCCCCTGGCCCCCTCCTACCCGCCCCTGCCCCTTCCTGCCCTCCCCAGCTCGCCCCTGCCCCCCCCTGCTCTTCCCACTCCGCCCTTCTCCCCAGCCTGCTCTTCCCAGCCCTACCCAACCCGCCCCTGCCCCCCACCACTCGCTCGTGCATGCTCTTGCCCCCTGTCAACCATCCCTTGCATGTTTCTTCCTTACTTGGACTGGCTCTTTTGTTCAAGCACTCGGTTAAGTCATGCTGTTGCTGCGAGTTCAATGCTTGCAGCTCAAACCCTTTCTCGACTTGCCCTGCGCATCTCCCTTTCCTTCGCACTCGTTCTCTCGTTCCCTGGCCCTCTTCCACCTTCTTTCTCCTCCGCCCGACCTTCTGTGTTGCCAGGCTGCCCGGCAAGTGGAGGCGCTGGTGGGGGGCAGCAGGGTGGGGAGAGGAGTAGAGGGGGCGGGTGTGGGAGGGGAGGGGCGGGAGTGGGGGGTGGAGGAGTTGGAGGAGGCGATGGCGGTGGCGCAGCACCACGACTCGGTGAGCGGCACGGCCAAGCAGCACGTCAACGACGACTACACCATCAGGCTCTACCGCGGGGCCGTCAAGGTGAGCGTTGCGGGGAGAATCAATCGTGCACGCCTGTCTTGAATCCCGTCTGTGCTTTCCTGTCCTCTTGTGTGGCCCTGTCGAGCTGTTGAGTGGAAGCAAGGAAGCGTGAAGTCAAGTGGGTGCTGCCAGTGAAGAGGCCAGTACCGCTGCCAGGGATGAGTGAATTTCTTGTCATCGGAGCCCGCTGTGGTGATCATGATACACAGGGGGGCATGACAGAGCATCTAATCTTCTCTCTGAGGCATCGTGTGCCCCCAGGCTGCCTTCCCCAAATGTGTTCCTGATCCTCTGGTTCCGTGGTAATGCCTGTGTGAATTCGGCCTCGTGTGCTTTTGCTGGGCTTTGTGTTATATATCCTCGCCCGCTGCATTAACTTGGTCTCTTAGTTTGGTGTGATGTGCTCATGCATGTTTATGGTGTGGTATCCAAACGTCAGTGTGATGTGCTTTTCTGTCCCGGTAGCAAGGGCCATGCTGCCACAGCCAGTGATGAGTGAATTTCTTGTCATCGGAGCCCTCATGAGGGGCCGTGACAGACCCTTATATCCCTTCTGAGATATCTGTCCCGCCCACCCGCCACTCCACATCCACATCTCGCGTTTCCTTATCTCTGTTCTTGGTCTTGCTTGCTGGCTGGTGATGGCTGTACACACACACACCAGCCAGGCCTCGTGTGGGCCTGCTCTGCATGGCTCTGCTGGAAGGGCTGTGTTGAGTCAGTGGGGCGTTGGTGAAAAGGGCCTGTGGTGATGCCAGAGATGAGTGAATTTCTTGTCATCGGAGCCCCCTGTGCGCATCGCATACCCTCCACGTGGAAATCACGTCCTTTTCGCAGTGGCACATGTCTGCTTCACTCACTATCTAACCGGATGGCATGTGGCACACGACATAGCTGCATGGCGGATGGATGGGAAGCATCAGATGAGGTGCTCAATAATCTTAGGGGTAGAAAGGATGGCTGGCTGCTGTTGCTGCTGCCAGGGATGAGTGAATTTCTTGTCATCGGAGCCCCCTGTGATGATCACCGGGGGCCGGGACAGAACATCTAATCTTCTCTCTGAGGCTTGCCACGTGGCACATGCACGCAATGGGCAATCAAGAGAATTTATCAGTGAGCGCATAGCTCATATAATCAGCACCACTGTTCATGCCACCATGGGTCGTCTAATCATTGTCTGAGTCGGATGAGTGATAGCATTGCTATTGATGCTGCCAGAGATGAGCGAATTTCTTGTCATCGGAGCCCCCTGTGATGATCACCGGGGGCCGGGACAGAACATCTAATCTTCTCTCTGAGGCGTGCCACGTGGCACATGCACGCAATGGGCAATCAAGAGAATTTATCAGTGAGCGCATAGCTCATATAATCAGCACCACTGTTCATGCCACCATGGGTCGTCTAATCATTGTCTGAGTCGGATGAGTGATAGCATTGCTATTGATGCTGCCAGAGATGAGCGAATTTCTTGTCATCGGAGCCCCCTGTGATGATCACCGGGGGCCGGGACAGAACATCTAATCTTCTCTCTGAGGCGTGCCACGTGGCACATGCACGCAATGGGCAATCAAGAGAATTTATCAGTGAGCGCATAGCTCATATAATCAGCACCACTGTTCATGCCACCATGGGTCGTCTAATCATTGTCTGAGTCGGATGAGTGATAGCATTGCTATTGATGCTGCCAGAGATGAGCGAATTTCTTGTCATCGGAGCCCCCTGTGATGATCACCGGGGGCCGGGACAGAACATCTAATCTTCTCTCTGAGGCGTGCCACGTGGCACATGCACGCAATGGGCAATCAAGAGAATTTATCAGTGAGCGCATAGCTCATATAATCAGCACCACTGTTCATGCCACCATGGGTCGTCTAATCATTGTCTGAGTCGGATGAGTGATAGCATTGCTATTGATGCTGCCAGAGATGAGCGAATTTCTTGTCATCGGAGCCCCCTGTGATGATCACCGGGGGCCGGGACAGAACATCTAATCTTCTCTCTGAGGCGTGCCATGTGGCACATGCATGCATCATGCAGATGATAGGTGTCCGATGAGTCATAGCAAGTGTAGAAGTTTTGCCAGGGATGAGCGAATTTCTTGTCATTGGAACCCCCTGTGATGATCACTGGGGGGCATGTCAGGTCAGAGCATCTGATCATCTCTCTGAGGCATGCCACGTGGCACATGCATGCATGCATCATGCAGATGATACTGGTCAGATGAGTAATAGCAGGTGTAGAGATGCTGCCAGGGATGAGTGAATTTCTTGTCATCGGAGCCCCTTGTGATGATCACAGGGGGCCAGGACAGATCATCTAATCTTCTCTCTGAGGCTTTGTGTGGTTCTAGAATGATTCTACCCCGTCTATCATCCACATCAATCATCATCACCTTGGTTGTGTATGGCAGGGAGCGTATGCAGTTCCAGCCCTTGGCTGGTGCATTGATCCCCCACCTCCATCTTCTGCCCGTTCCCAATCCCCACCTGCTTGTGTCTATTCAGGCCTCCTCACTGCTCACACGGGCCATTCGCTACATGATCTCTCGGCAGTCAGACGCTGACACGTGGCAGGCCCAGTCTCTCCTGCAGCAGATGCCACGCTCCCGGCCCACCCGCCCTCCCACCTCGCCCCTCCTGCGAGCGCTCAAGAAACGGGGCGCAGCAGCAGCAGCAGCAGCAGCAGCAGCAGAAGAAGCATTACCGGTAGCAGCAGCACCGGAGAACCAAACAGGCACACGCAGGCAGGGTCTGAAGCTGGACTTTGAGCTGGTGAGTGCAGCCATGGCTTGACACAACGTTTGCAAAATCTTCTTTGCTTTTCTGTTCCTTTTCAGTTGGCTAATTGCTCATTCATCTGTTACCAGCAACCTGACATAACCGTTCTTGCTTCTCCCCGGTGCCCCTCTCTCCTGCCCCAGTGCCCGCTCGCAAACATTTCATTCTGCCCGCCTTCGCAAACGGATCTTCAGGATGGGAAAGTCCTGGTGAGTGTCCACTCCCTGTGTGCCTTGCTGTCATATATACAAATCGCACCACGCGTGCCTCTTCTAGCACCTCTCTGATGCGTTGCCTTGCGACGGGATGGATTCTAATGCCATGTCATGCATGCTGCCTTGTGCTGTGCTATACCTGCATGCATGAGCCAAACCCAGGTGGTAGCGGTGTACAATCCACTGGCATGGGCGCGCAAGGAGATCGTCCGATTCCCTGTGAGCCACCTTCACCCTCCCTGGGCCCTCGTCGGCTTTTGCCTCTCACCACTGCGTCCTCTCTTCCCACCTTTTCGCAATTGCACCCTCTCAGGAGCTCCATTCTAGTTTCTGCTCTTTCCCCTCCTCACCCTCTTCTCTGTTTTCATCCCATCGTGATGTTTCCTTTCTCCTCTTCCCTCCTCTCCGCTCCTACTCCCCCTTGCGTTTTCTCCCTCTCCTTCGTCTTACTGCACGCCTGCCTTGTCCAGGTGTCAACTGCTGACGTGGAAGTAATGAATGCCAGCGGGGCAATTATCCCCTCCCAAGTCCTTCCAGACACCCTCCTCCTCCCCTCCACCCGTTCCTTCCTCATCCAAGCCTATGCCAGATCTGCTGCCGGACCTGAAGCTACAGCTGGTGCCGAGCCTGGTAGTGCAGAGTCGGAGGCGCTGTCGCTGGTGTTTTGGGCAGATGCGCCTCCCCTAGGTGTTGCCTCGTACTTCGTGCTCTATAAATACCCTGAAGGCAGGAAGCAGGGAGGAGTTGAGGAGGGAATGTGGCAGGAGATAGCAGGAGAAGAGGGTGTGGAGCAGGAGGGTAGCATGGAAGGGAGAGTGACAGAGGGCCGGAAGGAAGAGGGGAAGGTGATGCAGGAAGTTGAAGAGGAGGAGGAGGATGAGATAGTGATTGGTGGTTGGGCGGAAGGGGAGGAGGGCGAGGGCAGTAGCAGCAACAGTGCGCTGACACTTGCTTTCTCCAGGGCTCAGGGGGGCAGGATGACCCGCGCTGTGCTGCTGAAGCGGAGCGGGGGGCAAGCAAAGGCGGAGGAAGGGGAAGCAGCAGCAGCGGGGGCTGCAGCAGCGGCGGATGTGGGTGTGGAGTGGGCATGGTACAATGCGAGTGATGGAAAGGCGAGCAGGGAGGCATCAGGGGCGTACATTTTCCGCCCCGTCTCCTCCGATCCCGTGCCCATCACCCCGCCCAACGCCACTGCAGTATGGCCCTGCGCACCTGCTCTCTTGTCCCCCCTGCTCCCTCCAACACACCCATTTTCTCTCCCCCACCCCTCTCCCCCAACCTCTCTCTCCACACCTGAATTAGTTGGAGTCTAAAACCCACATCCTGGTGTCTCTTCTCCACTTTCCCCTTCCCTGTGCATCATCCGTTGCCCCTCGCCCTCTTCCCCAGGCATCACATCGTTGCTCTCTCTCATCTCTTTCCCCTGCTTTATCCCTCTTGCCGCCGTCCCTGGCAGGCATCAGTGTGGGTGGTGCGAGGGGCACGGGTGGACGATTGGCATCGCCAGGAGGGCATGTTTGGCCTCCGCAAGTACCGCAAGCACCTCAGGGGTCGCATCTCGGCTCGCTCATCACTTCTCTTCTCTCTTTTTCATCCCTCTCCCTGCCCCTTCAGGCGTCCATGCGGGTGGTGCGGGGCGCACTGGTGGACGAGGTGCACCGCCAGGTGGCGCCCTGGATCCACGAGGTGAGAGGGAAAGGGTGGGAGAGAGGGAGGGGGGCTGGGGGGAAAGGGGTAGGAAATCTGCTCTTGAGGCACCTTGAAGACAGGTGGCGACATGGATCCATGAGGTAACGTCGAATGGAAAGGAGGAGAGGCGGGGAGAAGGAATTCTTTTTGGGCGCATGATGAAAGGCAGGTAGCGCCCTGGATCCACGAGGTGAGGTGGAAAAGGTGGGAGAGAGGGAGGGGTGGGGGGAGAATGGATACTGAGAAATTTGGATTGCCCACTTTTTGAAAGAAAAAGAGTTTTGAGACGTCTTCAAATTTTACAAATCGTCGTTGGAAGTAGTTCTAGTCTACCTTCTTTGGGAGTAGGCCCAAAACGAAGTGAGTATTACTCGCCTCGCTGTTTGCCCATTTCAAACCTGCACCTCAATCCTGCACCTCAAACCTGCACCTCAAACCTGACATCAAACCTGACGTCAAACCTGCACCTCAAACCTGCACCTCAAACCTGCACCCCAAACCTGCACCTCCAACCTGCACCTCATGCACGGGGGGTGAGTCATGCACGGGGGGTGAGTCATGCACGGGGGGTGAGTCATGCACGGGGGGTGAGTCATGCACGGGGGGTCAGTCATGTACGGGGGGTGAGTCATGCACGGGGGGTGAGTCATGCATGGGGGGTGAGTCATGCATGGGGGGTGAGTCATGCACGGGGGTGAGTCATGGATGGGGGGTGAGTCATGGATGGGGGGTGAGTCATGCACGGGGGGTGAGTCATGCATGGGGGGTGAGTCATGCATGGGGGGTGAGTCATGCACGGGGGGTGAGTCATGCACGGGGGGTGAGTCATGCACGGGGGGTGAGTCATGCACGGGGGGTGAGTCATGCTCGGGGGGTGAGTCATGCTCGGGGGGTGAGTCATGCACGGGGGGTGAGTCATGCACGGGGGGTGAGGCATGCACGGGGGGTGAGTCATGCATGGGGGGTGAGTCATGCATGGGGGGTGAGTCATGCACGGGGGGTGAGTCATGCACGGGGGGTGAGTCATGCACGGGGGGTGAGTCATGCACGGGGGGTGAGTCATGCTCGGGGGGTGAGTCATGCTCGGGGGGTGAGTCATGCACGGGGGGTGAGTCATGCACGGGGGGTGAGTCATGCACGGGGGGTGAGTCATGCATGGGGGGTGAGTCATGCATGGGGGGTGAGTCATGCATGGGGGGTGAGTCATGCATGGGGGTTGAGTATGCACGGGGGTTGAGTCATGCACGGGGGGTGAGTCATGCACGGGGGTGAGTCATGCACGGGGGGTGAGTCATGCACGGGGGGTGAGTCATGCACTGTCTCCCGCCAAGGTCTCCAACCTGCACCTCAAACCTGCACCTCAAACCTGCACCTCAAACCTGCACCTCAAACCTGCACCTCAAACCTGCACCTCCAACCTGCACCTCCAACCTGCACCTCAAACCTGCACCTCAAACCTGCACCTCAAACCTGCACCTCAAACCTGCACCTCCAACCTGCACCTCCAACCTGCACCTCCAACCTGCACCTCCAACCTGAGCGCCCACCTGACCTCAAAGCTGACGTCAAACCATGGCCTGATCAGGCAATGCTTAAATGTCAATAAGAGTAGCTTGAATCCATGCCTTTCTTAAGGGACTGTATTCTGCTTGTTATCGTCTTGCAAGACTTGGTGGGGGCGCTAAGTGGGGACGCTAAGTGGGGGACTAAGTGGGTTCACTAAGTGGGGGCACTAAGTGGGGGCGCTGTACTTTCTATCTCTCCTTCCCAGTTCCATGCTATTCATGCTGCTCGCTTCTCCCCCCCTCACCTCTGCCTGCCATCTGTGTGTGTCAGATCGTGAGAGTGTACAAGGGCACCAACTATGCAGAGCTGGAGTATGCGGTGAGTGCTGCGGGTGATGTGAGTGATGTGAGTGATGTGAGTGATGTGAGTGATGTGAGTGATGTGAGTGATTTGAGTGATGTGAGTGATGTGAGTGATGTGAGTGATGTGAGTGATGTGAGTGATGTGAGTGATGTGAGTGATGTGGGTGATGTGGGTGATGTGGGTGATGTGGGTGATGTGGGTGATGTGGGTGATGTGGGTGATGTGGGTGATGTGAGTGATGTGAGTGATGTGAGTGATGTGAGTGATGTGAGTGATGTGAGTGATGTGAGTGATGTGAGTGATGTGAGTGATGTGGTGATGTGGGTGATGTGGGTGATGTGGGTGATGTGGGTGATGTGAGTGATGTGAGTGATGTGAGTGATGTGAGTGATGTGAGTGATGTGAGTGATGTGAGTGATGTGGGTGATGTGTGTGATGTGAGTGATGTGAGTGATGTGTGTGATGTGGGTGATGTGGGTGATGTGGGTGATGTGAGTACTGGAAGTGCTTTGAGTGCTATGGGTGCGGTGAACGATGTAAGGCCTGGGGAAGCAGTGACACGCCGTAACACAATGGCCGCGTGTATCACGATACCTCTTCTTTTGCTCTCCAGTTCAGACACCTTTGCTTCCAGTCCAGGCCTGTACTGCCACATCCATTCACCTTTGCCCCTCGTTGCCATCTTCGTCACACCATTCCTCTCCATCCTGCTTGCCTCTTCCCACTCTGTCAAGTGAAGCCAGTGCCCCTAGACGCCAGCTTTGGAAAGCATGTGGTGGCATGCCTCTCCTCCTCCCCCAGCAGCATTGCCACAACCTTCGCCCTTGCACCCTCTCATCCCCTGCCTGCTCGCCTCCTCAACTTAACATTTTGCATCACAGGAGGGCCCGGTGCCCATAGAGGACGGCGTTGGCAGGAAGGCAGTGGTGCGCCTCTCAAGTGATTCCAAAGCCTTCGTCACACCCTCTCTTCGCTTGCCTTTGTCCCCTATCCCTCTCCGCCCCATCACAGGTGGGCCCTGTGCCCATAGACGATGGCTTTGGCAAGGAGGTGGTGCTGCGCCTCTCTTCCTTCCTCTGCAGCAACAGCAACAACCAACATCATCACCTTCACACCCTCCCATTTCATGCCCACGTGCCCCCTGCTCATCGCAGGTGGGACCGGTGCCCATAGACGATGGCTTTGGCAAGGAGGTGGTGCTGCGCCTCTCCTCCTCGCTCGCCGGCAACGCCACCTTCTACACCGACTCCAACGGCCGCGATTTCATCCAGCGCACGCGCAACTTCCGCCCCGACTGGAACCTCACCGTCACAGAGCCTGCTGCTGGCAACTACTACCCCGTGAGTGGATGGTATTTTGTTCACTGCAATCCCAGGTGTCAGCCAACCTGCCACACCATTCCAGTCCCCGGTACAACAGCGTTTCAACACCAGTTCCTTCCTTTCCTATGCCCCTCCTCCCTGTCCCACCCCCTCCCGTCCCCGCCTGCCACCACTCGCCCTCTCCCCCACCAGCTGAACGCGGGCATCTATTTGCACGACAACAACACAGACTTCTCAGTGCTGGTGGACCGACCCAGCGGGGCGACCAGCCTCTCAGATGGGCAGGTGGAGGTGATGCTGCACCGCCGCCTGCTGCATGACGACCACCGCGGCGTGGCAGAGCCGCTCAACGAGCGCGTGTGCGTGGGCGCGCAGGAGGGGGCACAGGAGGGGGCACAGGAGGTGCAACAACCGCAACCGCCAACCTGCATGGGCCTCGTGGTCTCTGGGACTCTGCGCTTTGGGCTACACCCGCATGGGCGGAGCGAGGGGGGTGTGTTGGAAGTGGGAGGAGTGGAAGGGAGTCGAGAGGGGTTGGTGGCAGGGAAGGGGGCAGAGGAGGGAGTTGAAGCGGCTGCGGAGTGGCGGCGCGGGAATGTTCAACGGATATTCTCTCCGCTGCAAGTGGCGTTTGCTGTCGAGGTGGGTGGTTGCGACGCATGCGCCTTGCGGCTGAGGCCTTGGGTGTTGTGACATGGGTCATGGGGGGGGCGCATTTCATCCGCATCCACATTCCCCCTCCCGCCCCCTCCCTTGGCTTATAGCAGCATCCGTGCTCTCTAAGTTGCCTGTCTGTGTACTTGACAATGCTCCCTTTTGTTGCTGACTCTTGTGTGTGTGCGGCTTGTTGCTCTTGGGTGGGGATGACTGGCGCTGACTGCCTTGATGGGACATGATGGGGGCTTGAATGGGTTTGACCGGGGTTGATTGCCACTGGTGGTTCATATTGGTGGTTCATATTGATGGTTGTCTGGGCGTGACTGGGATGAATGCGGCTGACTGTTGTTGACTTGTGCAGAATGAGGATGACCTGGCAGCTGAGGGTGGACTGTACACGTGGCAGTTCTCTGGCACCCAGAGGAGCAAGTCTGAGGAGTCAACGGAGTCAATGCTGTCAATGCTGCTTGCCGGAGAAGGGAGGCGGGCAATGAAAGAATCTGAGGGTAGAAGAGGGGAAGACGAGGTGGAGGTGGAGGAGGAGGAAGGTTATGAGGAGGAAGAAGAGATGAAAGAGGGAGAGGAGGACGACGATGATGAGGAGGATGCAGAGGCAGTGGATGGGGGTGAGAAGGGTGGGGAGAGGGTGAGCAAGGAGGGCGCATACGAGCTTCCGAAGAACATTGCCATAATCACACTCGAGGTACCACCAGGCCCATTCAGCCCCCTCGTGCCATCATGCTCTCTCAGTTGCCCTTGTCACACTGACCCTGTGTTCAGCGTACACTAGTAATACACGATGAGGCACCTCCCTTGCAATGTCAAATGTCCCCCTTTGCACCACACACACACGCACCCTGTTTCTCTCACTCTCTCCCCTCTTACCTCTGTTGCAGGAGGTGCATGAGTACAAGGTGCTGCTGCGACTCGCCCATCTCTATCAAGTGAGCTCCATCCGCCCCTGCACTGCCCTCCCAGTGCCAAACCCCACTTGGTCTACCCCCACTTCTTCACCGGTTGTCTGCTTATCCCTCTTCCTTCTCACCCAACACCCTTTACGTCAACCATTGCCCGTCCTCATTATCTTGCCTCCCCTGACGTCCCTTGACCCTGTTATGGCTTGCTCCGTCACAGGCCAATGAGGACCCTGTTCTCTCGCAGCCTGCTCGTGTGGACCTTGACAGGCTCTTTGCCCACCAAGAGGTAAGGAGTTGTTTTTATGATTGTGAATACTACCTACCTCTTCTTTGTTGCATTTCTGAAGTCAAGTCTATTGCTGCCACATTTGGACAGATTGAGAAGGTAACTGAGCTCAGCCTGATGGCCAATCAGAAGCTCTCAAAGATGCGGCCACCAATGAAATGGAGTACTGAGGAGGAGGTGGAGTCAACAAATGGCATCCATGGAGTTGGTCAGAGGAATGCATTTGACTCCACAGACGGACCTTTCATTGTGGAGCTTGGACCAATGGAGATTCGCACTTTTGTGGTTCACTTTGATGATTGATTAGATAAGTTTTGATCTCGATGTTCGTTGATTCTTGTGTACATACATGTGGCCAATGGTCATTGCATGGTGACCACTGAATCTTCCTAGCTTTTAACACCTTGTAACAGGTGCATAATAACTGGCTTCTTAAGCTGACAAAGATTTAGTGTAGGTACCAATGGTACATACGGATTTCACATAACGGGTCTAACCGAGCGATGGATCATCATCACCAGAACCCAGCATCCACCGCAAACAGTTACCCAAGGGTTCCTCACAGTGGAACTGTCAGCCCGTCACCAGCTGACGAGCTCAGCATTCGTTTCGCTGCCAATCATAGCCTACCTTCAGTCGCGAACATAGCCTTTCCGATTCGCCAACGGGCAGGCTGCCGTAATTGACCAATCAGCAACCGTGTTCACCGACGGAAGCGATCAAAACACCGTCAGGTGCACCTCGCTTTCCCCTTCCCTTCACACCCCCACCAACTCCTCCCACCGTCGTAATCTTTCCCAGCTGTTGCCCCACACCAGCACCAGCTGTGTTCCAACATCCACAGTTGTGTGACGTTTCTCGAAAAACCTAGGCTAGCAAAAGCTGTGTCGATTGGAGCTGAAGACTTTACGAGTCTGTGCTAAGGACGTCGCGCGGTGTCACATTCTGTTCGGAGATTAGACCGAAGGGTATTTTGCGTTGTTCGACGGTTTGCACTTCTGTTATTGGTTTCTTTCTGCGCTGAACACATATACGCCCTACAATTTTGGATTTTCACTACACTCTTGGAGCCTTTTGATTTCGGAGTCCATGGCGGACCAAGAATTGTCTATGGCAGAGCAGGTACTTGATTCGTTCCTAATTTGAACTACTGCCGATTGTAAGTCCACTAATTGCGCTCTCAAAACAACTCTTACAATGGATTATGTTATCTTCAAATGCTTGCTTGGGTGATGATTCTTCCCTTTTTCCACGTTTCTTAACCTTCTTTCGCCCCCCTACCCAATTTCCCGCGCGTGCTTGCTCTACAATGGTCCTCCTTCCATACTTCCTCACGTGTATAGGAGGCGCGCTTGAAGAAGAAATATGGCGGAGCGCTTCCAAAGAAAAAGGGGCTTCTTTCGAAGGTAATGCAATCACAAGTGTTAACCCTTAGCCTTATCTCCGGTGCTCACTGTCCTTTAGTCTCACACATTATTTCCTCTTTCTTACACTGGTTATCCTGTGATATACGATGATGGGTGTTCGTTGCCTGCAGGGTCATGAGAGAGCTTTTTTTGACTCAGCCGAGTGGGCAATTCAAAAGGTCAGCAACCTTATCCCTCTATATCTGAACCTCCCTGGAGCAGCAAAGACATCTCAAAGACTGCTTCACCTCCCAGAAATGCCATTGGTTTGGCTCATTGTCTCCACAATTTCTTTGTTTTTGTTCCTCTTGGTCCTTGCACTGATGAAGAATTGTTCCACATGTGGCCAATTGTCTTCTTGCAGCAAAAAGGTGGCGAAGTTAAGCCTCCAGCAGCCAATGAGGGGGGTCTACAGCCAAAGCTAGAGGTGAGTTGCCACTTAAAGCTCTGAATCAATATATGGCTCTTGACCTGGCCAACGTCTCCTAAAGCATTGTCTTTCCTTAGAATTGTTTGTCTTCCCAGCTGCTATTCCCCCTTTTTTATACATGCCTGCAAACCAGAATGTTCAGTATGTTCATCAGCTTCTTATCTGGATCGTCACCCGCCACTGCCTCTCTCGCTGCTGTGTCCATTCAGCCCACCCCGCATCAACCATTCCCAGCGCGGAGGTCGTCGCTATCAGAGCCTGATCAATGAAGCTGGGTATGGATACAGGTAAATGGTTGTGCATGCAAATATTTATATACGGGTCGTTCGCAAGCATGCCAAGTACCTTTCAGCTGCTGCATTTTATTATGAATGTGGTTAATCCCTACTGACATGTTCCCCTCTGTAATTGCAGTTACTAGCAGAAGGCTCGTTAAAAGCACATCCGTGCTGTTTCCCTGACATGTTTGGCTTGTCTCTCTCTAGCACGCAGAACTGTTCATCTTACATTAGACTACGTACCAAAACTCTCAGATTTTTCAGTCGTGTCTCTGTAATGAAAGGTTAGACTGTAATGTAAAGGTAGCACCTGTTTTTTTATTTGATGGATTACACTGTCTAACTCATATATCCATTAGCTGTGTATGGTGGTCATTCATTTGTGACGAATCTCGCATCGCTCAGTTTGATGGTCCGTACTCTGCGGCAACCAAAATGCCATCTCAAACGTTCTTGTCACTCTTTGCCAGGGCGCCTTCACAAATATACGGACCGCACGCGAAATTACATGGTTCGATTTTGTTGTCGTCACTCATGATGCGAAGTCCCGTTGACGAGTACGAACGTTGAGAGTGGCCGACGACCGTAGTATCTCTGTCAAACGAATCTCGCATACAGACGCGCACTCGCTTTCTGAAATGTTGGTGACTGCTTGCACCACAAACAATTGCACCGTCGGTGCCGCCAACTCAATGCCTCCAACAAATCGAGTGACCATTTCCTTATAGTTGCACCACAAGTGATGATTCCTTTCGAAAGTTGAAGTTTATCTGACAGAAAAAGGTTTCTAGTCCAGAGTCTTCATTCCCTGAACTATACAAGTAGAGAGACTTACGCGCCACGTGTTTTAAGCGCTCATAACAGTCATGTCTCGGCAACCTTTCCTTCTGTTAGTAGCACTATCTCTGCTCATCATTTGTGCCTCTGCTGAGATGAAACCGCGAGAAGATTTAGTAGGCAGTCCACCGAAAGCGTCCACTCGTTCCGGAAGACCGACTAACGTTACGTCTCCGACAAAGCCCAAATCTGTAGCAAAATCCCCGATAAAGCCCACTAGCGGTGCAGGCTCTCCGCGGAAACCAGGGGGTAGTGTGGGCGGTGGAGGGGGCTCTGGGGGCGGCACAGGGGTGAGAAAAGGCCCACCGCCGGTTTCTGCGCCAGGGGCGGGTAGGGGAGGAGCGGGAGGGAATGGAGGCAGCGGAGGGTCGAAAACTCGAGGTGGAGGCGGAGGAAGCGGCGGGGATGTGCGGCCTCCTGGAGGGAAGAAGAGCAACTCGACCGGCGGTGCCAAGCCGAAGACGAACAGCGACGATACGCCCCCAGACGCGCCGCCAGACGATAATTCGAATAATGGTACGGTAGAGTCTAGCGACAGCGCGGACCCAACACTGTAGTTATTCAATTTGCTGCCGCCGCGTGTCACACACCGCGTCCAATGTCAGCATTCCGGTTGATCCATCCCGTGCACCTGCTTCATATTCCCCACCTCGCGACTATGGTCCTCCTCTGTGCTGTGGCTGCAGACACTGGCAGAGTCGCCGTGTTAAAGAACGCGACGCTGTTCTTCCCCGTCAACGCGGCGGCTTTCGCCATGTCCATCGCCACGTTCAGAAGTGATCAGGTATGTCGTTAAGCTTTCGTCAACAGTCAAAGCTTTTGAGAATTATCTGCGCACCCTTTTCGAATCACCATGCGCGTCCATGCGCTCATGAGTATACCCCCTGAACATTCCTCAACATTAATGACGGTTCACAATTATAAAAACAACGCTGAACGAAACTGTACAGACAGCAGCTACATCCGCACGGATACGTTGGAGCGGCGCTGGTTCGCGCCTCTTGTTCCACCGACCACAAACTTGGTAGCAGTCAACAATTGATGCAGCATGCTCTAGAGACAAAATGTTTGTGACTTAACCAGGTAGCGAATGAGTAACACCCGAGCTCCGAAATTGACCAGCACGGAGATGTCTTTTGGAAGAACACCTCCTCTTTCGTGTTCTTTTTCCAATCCCGTCGCTCATGCGCAGGTGGCGCGGATGTTCACGTACCACGCGATCAGGGGCGCGTACAAGGCGTGGCAACTGAAAGCTTTACCCATCAACACGCGCCTGCCCACCATGGAAGGCTCGTTCGTCACCAAAGTGTCCAAAGTTAATTCGTCCAAGCTCGCGTTCAAGGGGAAGGGCGATATACCCGTTAGAGTGGTACTACCAGACATGTATGAGGGCGAGGACATGTACATTCATGGCACCGACTCCGTGCTAGTACCGCCTTCCGTCTGAGTCAAGCTATGCATAATCTGGTGCTGTTTTAGCCCTTCCCTAGCAGTAGCATCTGGGGAATGTGGGCACCGTGTGATGCATCCCCGGCATACCCAAAAAGGATTATGCAGGGCCACAACAAAACCCAAGTCAAGCTCAGTGGCTTCCCTTTAGTCCCGTTCACTTTGCCTCTGTATTAATGTTGATATGATAGGGAACCAGCTTGTTAGCTAGCATGAGTAACGATTATCGAGTCTTTCTGCAAAACCTACGGCATGAGGAGTAGTTCTGATGTCTTTGGTGTACCACAAGCGTCACAATAACTGTACAGAGGTTGACCGACCATCACCACTTCTACAAGTATGGATGTTGGGTTCGGTTGGGAGATTGTCACTCGCTTCACAACGACGTTTGCGACAAGCTTGATCTGTTTCGCACGAACAGATGCCGAGACGGTCACACGAAGCGTCGCCTCTTTCGCAAATCAAGCAGTTTCGCATACCTTGTTTCCAGCCCAGAAACGCTGCCAGTATCTGGGCCCGTGCCCGTGATTCCCGAAAAAGTTGGGCACCCCAGCAGTGAGACATACACCCTTATTCTCAGTCTTCTCACCGGCGGAAGCAGTGGCTACAGTGTTGGACATAGCGGGCTGGTGAAATAACTCGGTTGCGGGCCAAGTCGCACGAGGCGACGAAACCAGACTTGGGCCGTAAAATTCCGTTAACGCTGAATAACTGTCCTAACCGTTCAGAAAACAGCATTACCATTTTAGAACGTATAGAACCCTGACTAAACGCCCTGGGTCAAACTGTCAGTATAACGCATGTGATAGGACCTTCTTTGGTCCGCTGCGGCTACACTAAGCGTCCCTATCAGTATAACATGTGTCAGTCTAACGAGAATTAGGGTGTACATTCTCTGTTAAAACTTCACTGTGTCGGGGTTTGACTCTCAAAGAATGCTGAGGTGGCTCTCGCTTTCAAGAATTTTGTCGCTTGTTTGCGATTTGATGTACCCGTCACATGGTGTATTGCAGCGTCAGCACTTCCTGGCCCAATCGTGAGAAGTGACAGCAGTCCCAACGTATGGCGCTTCGCCGTCATAACAGCTGTGTGCCTAGTTTGGTGGATTGAAACGTAGAGGGCGTGGGCCTCTTACAAAATTTGTTTCAAATCGCATCGCATAGTGAGCAATCTGACCTGTTTTTGTGTCGCTTTCCAGCTGTTTTCCCCCTACTTGCGGTGTTCCCACGTGAACCTTTACGCCAGCACGACAGAAGCCAATCAGCAGCAACAGCATTCCCAAGGAATGGTGCTTTTCACCAAGCCGATGCGGGGGGGAGCCAATTCGAAGAAAGGTCACTCTCCCCGCCACGTCCTCTCAACACAACCTTGGTTGCGGATAAGCCCGGTGGACATTGGACCGTCCTTTCAGTGCGGTAATCCCAGAATTCATGCAAACAAGGACCATCTTCCGTCCAATCCCTCCGTCCTTTCCATCACTCCAACGCAGACAGGTGGAAGAAAGTCCCGCTACCTCGAACTCTTCTCTCATTTCCAGGCTACCTCAAAAACCTTCACTATCCACTTCGTCCTAGTTCTCATTTCTAAACATGTGTTACTTCGACTATACTCGGGAGCAGCGAACAATTTTCGAGAACCACCTTCCTTCAGCATCAGCGCAGGCTTTCGGCGATTTCAGAAGATGCAGCAACTGCAGCTCGGGAAACTTCGCAGAGACGATAAGCCAGTCAAGAGGAAGCCATGACTCGTTGAACACGGTAATATTTGGTCAGCTTCGCACCACACCTTCATCGAACTCTCTCGACGGCAGCGATGAAAAAGATTGTTACACCGCGAGCTTCGATCACGATTCCGACGAGTGTTCCGTCGAGGATGAGCTATTCGACTCCCCAACTTCCAGAGGCCTCGCTACTTCGCGGTCGATATTCGGCGACGACCTCTGCGCGAGCTGTTCCTGGAGGGTTGCTGACATGGCATGCGATCCCGTCTGGGTTGACGATGCGCGGTCGCGAATCAAGGAAGCGGCTCTGGCGGTCGTCGAGGCGCAGCAGGCGGCAGTGGAGCTGAGCGCGCGGGCAGACTCGGCGCATTACGAATCAGAGCGTCCGACTCCTTACTCCGCCAATGCCTCCCTCCGCTTCAGCCGCAGCGAACCATCCCCAGCCGCCACTACAGCTCAAGACGCCTCAGAAGCTCCCACGCCTCGGGGCAAGTCCCGCAACGCGTGGTTCTCCATGGGCCGATCTAATGTTTCTGAGCAGCGTGATGGGGATCGCAGCAGCACGGCGGAACGGATTCACAGCACGCGGCGGCTGCCTCAGATCCGTAAAGTAAACAGCGAGCTCCGCATTTGCGTCGGGAGTATGGCGAGGTTGTGGAGCCGTAACCCGGCTAGCTAGGCGCCCACCCACATCACAAGTCACAAGTATAATCAAGCTCCGTTTATGCGCCCAACCACGTGATAGTAACTGGTTTTATATATATATATATATATATATATATATATATATATATATATATATATATATATATATATATATATATATATATATATATATATATATATATATATATATATATATATATATATATATATATATTGGCTTATGCCATTCTTGTCAAATGCGCTGGGTGGTGCAACCTTTTGGAGAAGATGTTTTTTTTTATGGAACAAGAATATATAATAATAATATGATATATATGATTGCTGCTAGAATGTGCGACAATCGGTTTATGGAATATAATATTGCGAAGCTGTTACAATGCAACCACGAGCACGAATGTACCATTGCTCTTCCGCCACCTCAGCCAGCGAGCGACAGCCTCCCTCCACATAATTTGAATGCCGTGCCGTGGATGGTCGCATCGCATGCAAATCCACCTCCGTATCGCGAGACGCGCCTTGGTACTGTCATCCAGCGGACAGTTGCGCTGCTCCCATCCATTCAACCATTCCAATCACGATGACCACACAACACACACGCACCCGAATGACTTGCCTTCCTTCCCAGCTCCCTTCCCTTTCCACCCACACGACGACCCAGCCTCACAGGTTAGCCACCACGAAGAATGCGGCTCACGAGAAAAATAGCACGGGCTGGGATGAAAGCAATGATTCAACCTGCGTGGCGGAGAGAGGTCAGCACCAGGGCTGTCGATATCCCTGGGGGCAGAACTTGAGGCCCCCAGCTGCTGAAATTCTGACCCTGATTTTCAGGGAGGTGACCAAATTTTCGCCCTTAACGGTCACGGGTGCAGGCCGAAGTGTAAACTTGAAATCCGGGCTCCAATGTGTTGTGTACTAAACTAACCTAAACAACATCATAGACAGGAAAATCACATACTTCTCACTACGAACTACTCCAGTCAACCTGTATGTCACAACTTCCAACTACAACTACAGTTGCACTACCTACTGCATTTCTACTCATCTCCTGACTTCGACACAACACACACACTAGATTGGATAAAAATCGAGAGAAACATCCTCCACCTGTCGCCCTATTGTGCAACTTTCATGGAGAGGGGGGTGGGGAGGGGGGTGTTCCGCAAGATTTTAGGGGGTGGTCTGCGGAACCGAAAGTAGAACTTAGATTCAGGGGATGGCCCAGATTGAGCACTTAACGCATCCGGGGAAGGGCCAAACGATGCCCTTAACTGGCATGGGCGCCAGTCGAATCAAACCCTTAAAATGGTCGAGCTGCGCCAAACATAACCCGGAATGTTCAGGGCATTAAGTGCAAATGCCCTTGAATCGACAGCCCTGGTCAGCACCACCAGCATCACGGCTCAACGACACAGCGCCTGACACTGAAGTCGGCGTTGACAGCTTGCTCCTTACAGGATATCTGAATGGTAGAGAAGTCCCCTCCCCTAGTCTGGTCTAGGAGTGCAAGCCAGAAATGCTTGTCCTGAGCAGCGCATGCGCTTCACGTGATTAAGTCAATAGCACTAGCTTTTATGATGCTTGCAGCACATTGTGCGGACCCTGCTCTTCCTGACGCATACAGCTCGTAATGAGCGAACCTTGCTAGAGCGAGAAAAGGATTGCACAGATCCCTCAGTGACGAAATGTGCGGCTCTGGCTGTCCTAGCACCATGTCAGCGCCGTGGCCGAATCACTTCCAGTGACGCGACCGGCCGATGAACTCGTGCGTAGAGGTGGCCAGAATCAGATCCTTCACTTTCAGTTCAACTAACCAGCCGACGTAGATGCACTAACTGAGTCGTCGAATCACGTTGCGGAAATGGATGTGCGGACGCAATGGCGTGAGGCTTGCTTTGCAAGCGCAGGTGTTGAGCTCCGAAAATGGAAAAGGGGTTCGATTCTCAATCCTTGCAGTCACTTCTTCCACCTCGTTCAGTTGAACAAGCTTGAGAACGCCGTCAATCAGCATATCAGCTTCTCCCGTCCACCTCATGCTAGCAACAGACAGCGTAGAAATAATCGGGATGGCTGAAAACACGCACGAGAGACAGCATTCTACGGACTCCGTGCTTCTCTCGTCACGCCCTGATACTCGGCAAGACAGTCATGACAGCAGTTTCCGTCATCGTGACGGTCGCGGCGCGGAGGGCCCCAAGGCCCGGAAGAGCTTAGAGACCTCGAAGCTCCCTCCTCGCAACCCCACCTTTTCAGGCCGCAACGCGGGGCAGGCGGATCGGCCGTGCTTGAGGCGCCTCTCTTCCACGCCTCAAATCTCAAGCGACTGTGATCTCAGCGTTTGGATCCGTCTAGCTCAGCGCTTAGAGGAGGACACCACACACTCCACCTCACCCGGATCGCTGACAGAGGATGGTGACACGGAATCAACGTACCATGTTTCCGTTCACTACTCTGCCTCTCACCGCTCAGGCTCTTCCTCGTCTCTTGGAGATTCAAGATGCAGCAGAACCAATCAAGGTTCCACGTCCCTTCGCGCAAGCCACTCAGAGACCTTTGCTGACGCCAGTGACTTGCGCACAGACGGCCTTCAGCGCCGCCACTCCGTCTCCTCC